CTTGGCATTTCTACGCCGAAGCTCCCATTCTAGATGGTGCAACCAAGATTACAGATTTCTAGATCCAACCGATCAATAGATAATCGTTACCTAATGCAAATCTATTTTTCGAAAAACGTCGTCCGTGGGATTCGAACTTTAGACCTGCCGCTTGGTGGGGTGATGACTAAACCACTTCACTAGGCCGCCACACCCATCTTTATAGAATTTATTTAATTATATTATTATTTTATTTTATTTAAAATTTTAAAAATTATATATAAAGAAGCTAAATGGAGTTAAATAGGCATCACATCCTTGCATTATACATATATATTACTTTTGGATATGATACTATTATATATTGCCAAATAATATAGTAAAATTAATTATAGTATATACAATACTCTTATTTGTCATATCTTAACTCTAATATTAATTTACTTACTCTTGTTATACATAGCAGTAACATTTGTAAATTTTTTTTTTATATCTATATATATTTCTGTAATACTACAAAATGATTGGCATGCTCTAGTAAAGTATAGTACTTACATATATACATATAGCATGTATATACATACATACGTATAGTTATTTCAAGCAAAAAGTAAAATAAATTATTATATTGTTATATTAACCTATTCAGATTAGTGTGTATGCATAGATTAACATTGCTTAATATAGTCATAAGCACTGAAGTATTTATTTTCAAATTATATAATAATGTAATATTAAAAATAACTTTATAATATCATAATAATTGCAAACTGCAGGTTAAATACTTATTTTTTATAAAATACTGAGTTATGACCAAGTTGGCTATATATTCGGCACTTATATGAACTATAAATAAAATTTTTACTATATTTTTGTTTTTGTTTTTTAATACTACTTTCATATCTTTGTTTTAAGATCTTCCTCTATAAGCAACTTTAGAAAGATTTTAGATATTAACAAAACTTACTATAGGCTCATTTTTAGATTTTTCACTTTCCAGCTCAGATTTAGAATATTCTTGTAACAATACTCTTGTATTTGTATCTAAATTAGTAGCAATATATTGTTCAGCTAATTGATTTATAGTGTTGATTTGTTCTTGATCAATCATAGTATCTTATAGACTTCTAATTGCTTGTTGTTTAATTTTCTTTTTATCAATATATTTTGTTAGGATCTAAATTATCTTACTATTATCATTGTCTAGAGCAAGTTGAGTGGCTTCATGTACAAGTCTTCAGATTTGGCTATATTGATTTCTTTTATTAATAGTTTTCTTTGTAATTGATATAGTAACTGGTTTGGTGACTGATTTGTATATTGGAATTGTACAATTATTCAAAGCCAGATTAAGTATAACTTTTTTATTGTTGAAAATTATATTATCTTCTTTTAATATTTCATAGTCTTAATATGGCTTCTTATATTATTAAGTAGGTATCATAGATATATAAAATACTGCTATATTTGAATACATTATTACACAGAAATAATAATAGTATATAATATCTTTGGAAATACTTATAAGGCAAGAACATAAAAAGAGATCTGATTGACAATTACTACAAAATAAACATGATGCCTTTTCTTGGCATACAAATCAGTAACTTTTTAAATTTCTTTAATATCATCATGTTCAATTTTATCAATTATAGACTGAAAAGTTATATGTTTTGTATCATATTGGTCTTCTATAATCCATCGTAAGCTTGTTTATTGTTTTTCTATTTTATTCCAATATTAGGATTATTAATAACTATTTCAGATTTAAATGTAATCAGACTAAAATAAAATTTGGCACACTATTAAGCTCTTATAATCTACTTATACTCTCTAAAAACACTACAAGAAAATTTATTATAGATCAAGTTAAGATTAACAAGCCAAAGTTTTATTTTTAATCTTGTTTTATTTTAATCTAATATTATTTTAATTATCACAATAACTCTTTGTTACCTGTTCTTGAGTTAATTTTTCATTTGTAGGCTCAATCCTGTTCATGTTAATATAAAGGTATTAACCTATCTCAACTTTAAGTTTGTCATTGATTGTTTTAGTAGTATATTTATCCAACACATCAATTATTTTAAGAAAGAGTCTCTGACTAGTTATAGGTATTGTTGCCATTGTAGTTAATATTTTGTACTTATGAAACTGCTTCTATTGTGTTTTATCTTTTAATCATTAATCCAAACAATTAACAAGTTCACAAAGTGTGCTGTTTGCTCTTAACTCCTTTTTAATTATCTAGTTATATCTCTTTACACACATAGTACTTTCGATACCAGCTGTGAAAATTTTACATAAGTATGCATATACTCATGATTAACATCTTGGGCCAAGAACTTTAAGCAAATAATTATTGATTATAGAGTATTTTTCAAGCAAATCTTTTTACTTTTTATCAAAAAGAGGTTCATATAGACTATTTCTGTATTGATAAAAACTTTTTATGAATTCTTCCTATTTGTTTTCTAGCTTTGACTTTAGATTCTTAAGAAGGTTTTGCCCAATATAATATATGCAATGAGCTGAATATGTTGTTGGAAAAACACTAGGTATAGCAGCATTTAATGCAGGATCTGAATCTATAAATAATATGATAGGTGGTTTATTTGTGGCTTTCTTGATGCAGTTTAGAATCCATATATATATTTCTAATATCTTATTGCCAACCAACACTTGGCAAACAAGTCTTAATTTACTATTATTGTCGATTATAATAAAGAAAGAGAGAGTATTTAATATTGATTTGTCCTTGCCATATTATCATTAATTACTATATTATAATACTTTAACCATAGGTTGGCTTATTCAGGTAATATTTAGAAAAGTTTAATTAAATAATTATCATCATCAAGCTTAAAATTAATTATCTACCACGAATCAGCTGCTTTTTTTTTCATTAATGATATAAGTAAGATAGATATATTATTTGTTTTGTTAGAATTTTTTGCTTTTTTGAATTTACCAATAGCATTAGCAAAGTTAATATCCTAGAAGTTCATATTTGAAAAACAGGCTTTAAGTATATTTCTTTGTAAAGTAATTAACAGATTTTCATGCTTGGTTATTAATTCAATTTTTTTTATAGCTTCTTTACTTAAAGACCAATACTTGATTGCAAATTTTTGGGTTTTAGATAAAAGTTCATAGTTGTACTTATTAACCATTGTAGTTATTTTGATTTAAAAATCATTGTTAGCTAATAAAAGATTACAATACCAAGAGCAATTTAATTTTTTTGTTTTTGTATTTTATTATGTTTTTTTTAGAGCTGCTTCTTAACTTTTATTAGGCTTATATTTTTTACTGAATTTGTAGCTAAAGGTCTTTTTAAATATTGCATCTATTTTGGTACATCTTATTCTATATTTTTTAATCATGAGCTATTTCTAATACCATAGTCTGCAAAAAATACCTCAAATTCTTCTTACATACCGAATGTTATATTTTTTAATATATTCTCTAATAGTATAAAAACTAGTACTAGTATAAGGTATTAGTATAAAGTATAATATAAAAAGATAATCCACAATTGTTAATAAGTCTTACCATTTGTGTTATTGATATCTTCATTTTTATTTAATTCATTAACTACATTATTTTTATTAGTATGATTTGTATTATTCATATTTTCTTCTTGAATTGTCAAAAAATCACCTGCCATATTAATCATCTCTTCAAATTCAGCATTGTTTAAACATGGATAATCTTCTCTAGTTTTTTATTCAAATCTTCAACTGTAAAACCATTTCCGTTTTCTATTGTGGCACCACCTAAATTTCCAAGGGATTGTTCATCAT